TTTTTTTTTAAATTTTTAAAGTAAAATAATTCGGTTATTTTGGATTTATTTGAAAACCGATAAAGAGGAAATATGTTTCTTTTATCGAGATCTGCCAGCCCTGAAAATATTTGCACATATTTAAGACTCACCCTGTATTATCTCATCCGATCTTCAAGCCGCCTTAAAAGCGATCATCTCAGTAACCCTCAATTCAAAGTTGGTCAAAAAATGCCTAGAGAATCTGAACAAATTAAGCAAAGGAAATATTTTATTATTATATATTTTCTTTTTTAAGTCCTATAATATTTATATGTAAAGTCCTCCTATTTTGAGCACCAAATCACCAAGGTATAGAAGTTTATAAATGCTGCTTCCCAAGTGGAAACCAACTTAATGGAGAACTGAAGAACCTGAACGACTCCATCCGTAGCCTAAAATGGTAATCCTCCAACGATCTAAGGCACTGAACAAAATTTCTCAGAATTTACGACCGAGAAAAATCAAAGTTTTTCCTTGAATTAGGTAAGAACAATCTTTGGATTGTCACGGAGTTTTAACAGGACACTGCCTCCTCAATGAATATCTCAGTACATTGAAGCTAAGAGACAACGGCAAATGCAGATTCTGTGTGTACCAAATTCAAATTGAGATTATTCTGTTCCTCAAGAAGTGTAAAATCAAAGGCATCTAACTAAAAGGAAGACACAACAATCCATTTATAAAACACCATTTGTTCACCATCATACATTTTTTGATACTTTTATACCAGTTAAAAAGAGATGGGGCGTAAACGTAACAACGCTGCTGAGCTTGATGTGCATTTCTGAATTTTCGGTCTATAAGTGACGTGCTGTTTTTTTTATCAACAATGATAAAAAGTACTTTTAATTTAAATTTTGATTTATAATGTATAATGTAATGTAATATAATAAATATTTTTTTTATTATACTAATAGTAACTCAGAACCGATGATGAACCTTCACATACTATGTAAAGTCCATAAAAATCATATTAGTATAATTTATACCTAACAATTATTTTTGGTAATATCCTACTTACAACTTAAATTAGGTACACCAATGTTAAAGCTAAAATATAAGTAACATCACTTACGGCCCAAATATCAATTTGGGACTACAATACTTGACAATACCATCTTAGATATTTAAAAATGCTTTAAACAGTTCTTTTGCAAAGAAAAATATTAAACATTACTTGAAAAACGCAAAACTTCATAGACATACATACATACAGCCATTACTCGCTGACGAGTATTCGACACACATCAGAAGATGGTCACGCAAGGCGTTTTCTTTCATGAGCTTTTCTGTGACTGAAACGTAGAAAACACGCAGTCTTCACAGACAACACGCAGCAACACTGTTAAATATAATCTGATTGAATCCATCAAAAGTCGGCGTCACTTTTACTATTCATAGTAAAAACATTGTAAAAACTATAGAAACCAAACAGTTCTCCTGAAGCAGCGTTGTCACAACTTCCGTAAAAAAATTATTTAATTCAATTAGAAAACAATTTCAAAAGTATAACATATGTATTTTAATTAAAATGATACATATATAGTCATATCAAATAAACTTTTAGTCACATAATTAAGCTTGACCGGCACAGCGTTGCCCACTTTTACATATTTTCTTTTAATCAAAATATTTTGGTAAACAAAAATAAATTAATTATAAATATACAAACAATTATTATTTACATCAACAAAACTCACCTCCTTAACAGCACTTAGCGTACATAAAGGGCTATTACTACCGCTGTCCCGTTCAAAATATTGTAATAAAGTTGCGATGAGTTTTTCACGGCTATTAAGCTATCTTGTACACTTCGCACTAAAAGAGGTTCTCAAAAGAACGACTGTTCGACTGCAAGGCCTGCTAGTAAATATTTTTAAGCTTAAAGTGTCACAACACAATTAATTTAAACCAAAAACTCGTAATACAAAACTAAAATGTCGAAACGAATGATAATGTCAGAAAATAAATAAATAAATGTGGCAACTCGACATTTTTCACAGCAGAGCTACCAACTGAATCTCCAGCGCGAAATTTAAATTCCAGTGAGTCAGCCCGGCGACGAATATATTGCCATGTTTAGCAACAATGAATTTAAAAATTGCGCCGTCCATCGCTTACGTAAGTAAAAATTTAATTGGTATCAAATATATATTTAGTACGCCGCGCCGTTTCAATCTTTAAAAACCGTTAATAACAATAATAGCTTACTTCGTTTTCAAAAAAAAATCCGTAATCTTACGCAATCCGCAGAAATTTGTCATCATCAACATCATTAAAAAGAAATTAAGAGAAATGTATAATCTCTTAATATTTTATTGTTATATTCTTCTAGATTTATTTTAGGAAATAATTAAATATACCAAATATTTCTGTTATATCTAACTGAATTCAACAAAATTTCTGTCATACCTATCTATATATTCTATAATATCTAGAAACTCCAATCTATACCCGCCGTGGCTTTGTTTGGAGCAGTCTAATGGCATTACTGTTATCTTTATAGTTTTAGTTCATAAAGTGCAAAGAAAAGTTTGTTGAGTCAATGCGGAATAGATATAAACTTTGTTGTCATTTCGGCGACTGATTTACGGAGATGACAAGTGCATTTATATGAAGAGACTAGAAACTTTACAACATTGTTTATAAAAGAGATGAATTTGAATTCTGCCAAAAGAATAAAATGGTACATTTTGTTAAAATATACAGTAAAATTAATGTTTTATTGAAGTAATTGAACTTAACAACACCACCACTGACGTCGTAAAAAGGAGCTTAAATTGTCAGTGGCTAGAACTGTTTATTATGCACTTTTTGAGTCGCACCTCAGATATGCTCTTCCATTCTGGGGTACGTGTTGTGCGGCTCAATTTGACCGCATTTTTAAGCTCCAGAATGGAGTTGTTCGATATTCACTGGGACTAAACAGCAGAACTCATTGCCAGGACTTTTTTAAAAAATTAAAAATAATAACTTTTTCTTCCTTATTTACATTTGAATCCATTTGCCTTATACGTAAGCATGTATCAGCTTCTCAAGAAAGGCCGTCTCACACTTATCCACTCAGGAACGCGGACCAAGATCTTTATCTACCTACCCCACGCTCAGAGTTAGTTAAAAGTTCAATATTATACAACTCGAAAAAAATGCACAATCACCTGTCATTTGAAATCAAATCCATAACATCATTGTCTTCATTTCGCAAAGCATTGAAATTTTATTTACTAGACAAGACTTTCGACGCCGTAAATAGCTTATATTTTGATAATCGAATTTGATCTTCTAAACACTGGTCTAATATTTGCTATTACTTTATTTACTACTAGTGTGTACCCGCGACTTCGTTCGCGTCGAATTAATCATTTGTAATGATGATGATCAAGCAAAGCAAGAATTTCCATTAACATACAAACTAAGATAAAATTTTCTTACATTTATGTCAGCATGAGAAAAAACAATATGGCGATATTATTATATAACTTGGTATAATATTTGAGGGATAGTTTCATCTCGTTGGAATTTGACTTTCGAAAAATCCGTTTGCCAAAAATAAGCTTTTTACGTCAAGCAGTTTAAGCAGAATCGTGATTAATCAATTACCCAACTTTTTGGAACACCCTGTATGATTTTTTAAAAAAATTCAAAATATGTAAAAAATCAATTATGCGTGTCCAAGTGTTTTCCCGAAAGGCTCGCCGTATTTAAAAAACAAATATTGTAATATTTGTGGGTCGTTTTCACCCGCTTGGAATTTGAAATTCGAAAACCCCCTCTTTATCGAACCTCTACACCCCACAGTCAATCCGTTTGCCAAAAATCAGCTTTAAACGTCAAGCAGTTTAAGTAGAATCGTGATTCTCAATGGTTATATTTTATGAAACACCCTGTATAAATTTTTAAAAAACCTTAAAATATGTAAAACAACAAAATAAAATATACATGTTTAAGAGTTTTTCCGAAAAACTCACCGGTTTTTAAATAAAAAATATTCTAATATTTGAGGGGTGGTTTCACCCCCTTAGAATTCGAGTTTCGAAAAATCCCTTCTTATCGAACCTCTACACCCTAAAGTCAATCCGTTTTCCAAAAATCAGCTTTTTACGTCAAGCGCTTTAAGCAGGATCGTGATTAATCAATGACCAATTAATCAATTTTTCGAAACACCCTGTATACATTTTTAAAAAATCTTAAAATATGTAAAAAAAGAAAATAAAATATACGTGTTTAAGCGTTTTTTCGGAAACTTGACCGTTTTTTAAATAAAAAATATTCTAATATTTGAGGGGCGGTTTCACCCCCTTAGAATTCGAGTTTCGAAAAATCCCTTCTTATCGAACCTCTACACCCTAAAGTCAATCCGTTTTCCAAAAATCAGCTTTTTACGTCAAGCGCTTTAAGCAGGATCGTGATTAATCAATGACCAGATTTTTCGAAACACCCTGTATACATTTTTAAAAATCTGAAAATATGTAAAAAAAGAAAATAAAATATACGTGTTTCAGCGTTTTTTCGGAAACTTGACCGTTTTTTAAATAAAAAATATTGTAATATTCCACCCCCCTTTTTACCCTCTTAGGGGATGAATTTTTAAAAATCCTTTCTTATCTTACGTAAACATCATAAAAGGAACCCCTGTGCAAAATTTCAGCTTTCTAGGGTCAAGGGTTTGGTCTGGGCGTTGATGAGTCAGTATCAGTCAGGACAGTCAGATTTATATATATAGATAAACTTACTAAATATTTTTGAATCTTATTTTTATTTTTTTTATTCTTTGACATTGTAAACATTTATAAATGTTTATTTTAAACAATAAGACTGACAATTTTTTATTATTTGTATACTTGTTTTGTATTCTCTTTTGTTTCTTTACTTTATCGTTGTCTACAAATTGTAAAATTTTTTGACAATAAAGGCATTTATTTATTTATAAAATCATTTAAGTATTTTACTATCTCAAATAATAATAAACTAACGCTTACCTGTACTTGACAAACTATTTCTGCGTACGGCCAGCAATTTTTTAAGGAAGGTAGGATTGCAAACGGAGTGACACATAATCCCATCGCCAAATCATTGCAAGCCAGAGATGTCAAAAGGTATCGAGGCTGAAAATAAATAACTCTAATAAATATACGTTTGATCGTGGTAGATAATGATAAACTATGAAATAATAGATATTTACGAGACAAGTGAGTTAACAGCATCATTAAGATACGCGTGTGAAAGTTGCACAACGTGAGCAACAAACAATGAGTTGTGTAAGTATCATAAAGGAGTTAACTCGCGTGTATTGTACAATATTTTATCTACGTCTAACTATAAAAACACACAATGCATTTTAAAAATTATTGTACTTAACTATATACCTATCCTAAAAATCAATTACCTTAATACCTTTGTTCAAATAACACCATGCATGGCAATGTCAATATGACAGTAAATAATATTGATGTCACTAGTTTAAAAAATGAGCGATTTGGAAACTGAACTCTCTCTAACATTGAAGAAGAGGCATTCAGAGCCATTTCTGGATTGCTTCCAGCAAGATCGAAACAGAAGTATGAATATACATACTGTAAGTATGAACTATGGTACACCGGGAAAAAGTACATAACTATCGACATGAAAAGGTACTCATAACATATTTTTCCAATTTAGTGCAAAATGAATGTTTTACAAAATAGTTTTTTCTCTTTGGTAGTCATCTAAACCAGGAGTGCGGTAATGAAAACGCGTGAGTTAAGAAGCTCTTAACTCACTCGAAATGCGTGAGTTAAGAGCTTCTTAACTCACTGACGTAGATAAAATATCTTCTTGAACCGATATTTTGTTTAATTTTGATGTTTACACATTTTGTTAAGATGTATCACTGACCGCTATCAAGTGTGAACTGATCTAAATTCTAAAATTACTGAACTTAATACTATCCCAAGTAGCATTTTTGGGCACATTTTAAAGGAGAGTGACTGTTATTACATTTATTCCTAAAACCAAATCATCTCTGTAATGCGTATAATAAATAATTATAAAATTCCATAAGAAACATATCTGTATTTGTATTCACCATATTATATGTCAATCTTTCTGCTTTTTTAATTATACTCTAAAAACTTGAAGAATACTTAAATTCTTAAGTCTTCCCCATTTTGCAAAAAAACTGCAGAACAAAATCCAACCAATAAAGTAAGGTTGTGTTCTCATATTTGACAGAATATCAAATAAATTATGGAAACTTTTCAGACACAAAACGGGTACAAACCATTTGTAAATGTAAGCGACGTCTGTTTCTTAAAAGTTTAGAAAAATTTGTGACACTAACCCCCGGTGTTTTTAGGTACAGATAGCGCGTTATAATCCGCCAGATATATTTTATTTGATGGATAGCAGAAAAACGTGTATCTTCACCTATAGATAGCAATATCTATTAGAGATAAAATAACATTATCCCTCAGATATCTATTTAGGACCTGAACTGCTAAATAACGCTTTATTTGTCGGATAAAAATATGAAGCATGAGCAAAGGCATGAGGAGATATTGATTTTATTTAACAAAATTGCTTAACATAACCTAAGACATTGTTGCTATTGAAGATTTCGTTTATTCCAATAAATTCGATTTTAGATTATTTGTATTACCATGTTAGAACGTATGGGGTATAAACACCAATAAACACATTGAAATGGTACAAAAAGTACTATTGTTGCTAGTGCCGGACTTTATAAGGAGTGTTACAAAATAAAGAGAGCCTCTGTTATAGCATCAGAACGAAGAGAATGCATTAAGTCAGGATAATAGTGATAAAACAGCAATTTATAAATTAGTTTATTTAAATCCTTTCAATTATAAACCATTACGTATTTAATAAAGCTCTAAAGTAGGTAAAAAAATAAATAAAACTTTTTAAATCAAACTATTTATTCGCATATCTTAATTCATTAATATTATAACAGGAACCTTATAAAACCTGTTATTCAACTCACATTTGCTTTTATTTCTTTTGTGTTACAATTTTAATTTAATTTCTTGCACAATGTACCTTATAGGTACCGTATGATTGAAAAAAAACGGCGTCCGGTTGTCTAAAAATGACGATCGATGATATTTCCCATATAAATTTACATATGAAATGACAGCAGTCTTCATTTCATAACCATCGCTGACGCCGTTTTTTTCGATCATACGGTACATCTCTTCTCCATGCTTTTTTTTAAGTAACTCTCTAGCTAAACCTTGCTAAAACACCTGTGTTGTGGTCCTTTGAATTCCAGTTAGTTCAACTTTGTTTAGACAAGATTTTTCCTTTATTTATTTTTTTTTTTTTGAACTTCCATCATTTGAGTTCTTAAAAATAAAAGTAATATGACAAAATTGTTTTTATTTAAATTTTTTTATTAAATAATTTGTACATATAATGTGTAAATGTAACAATAGTTATAGGTACTATTCATTTATTATTATTAAGACAAAAGTATAAGTGCATTTATCTATTTTATAAAATAAAAACTCACCTTATTTACTATCATCGATGCTATCCTACCTATTTCTTTACTATGAAAAGTCCTAGAACAATAACATATTTGTTATTACTAACAGTCTTATGCTATTTTTAATTTTCAATATTAATAACTTACCAGATGGTGGTTTTAGGATTTGTTTATAAATCTCTGCTTGCACTTCACCAGCTTCTTCCATATTTTCTATTATCAATTGTACTAAAATGTTAATATAATAAATATAAAAGTAATATCATGTAATTAAATTATAAATTACTTACAGATTATTTTTTTCTTGTTTTAATTTCTTATAAATCGCATTCCATCAATAGATCTATTTCACCACTGCTGAAATTGAATTATCTTTCCCTTTTTCCATAAAGGTAAAATTAAATAGCCTATACCATAATAGAACTGGTCGGAGTCGAACACAAAATATATTTTAGTTGAATTTTATTGTTTTTATTTTCATTTTGACGATCTTTTGACAACTGAACCATAACCTCACTTTTTAATTTAACGATTTGAAATTCCGAGTTTTTGTCTCTGTCTGTTGCATAGACTTTTCATATATAACCATCTCAATTTCAGATATCTTATATTGGCAACACTTTCTCTACGGAGTGTCTAACGGTCCGTCCTTCGAATTGTTATCTTTTGGATTATTTTGTATGAAAATACCCAAATGTTATATCCTATAGATAGCAGGCTTTAGATTGTTTATCTTTTAGATAGTTATTTGTTAGATAAAAGTTATTTATTTATAACTGAAGAGACGGCGCTTAAGATCTTTATTGTTATAGCTTATGTAGCCAAACAATATGGTAAAATGTAAAAATACTTTGGTATTTTTTTTTGATAAAGTGTTTCTTAAAAAAATAGATTTTTAAGAAATTTTTGTTTTATATATTTTTTTATTTACAACCACATATGTAATACTGACATTACTGACTTTTAAAAATTTGAAAGTGTCAAATTATCTACATTTCTTCCCTCTTCCATTTCCCTCACCCATTTCCCTCACTCGGTCCGTATCATACTGTACGTAGCCCAAAGAGTAGATGGCTTTTTCTGCCTTGCCATGTCGCTAAAATATGCCATCAAGACTGTCTCCGTAGCAATATTCTTAGTATTTCTTTCGGCACACCAATTTTTCATATACTTTCAATACTATTTCATATCAGGCCCTACCTTTCTCTGGAAGTAAACTGGCTTCTGCTCTTTTTGCAGCTTCTGTAAGTTCTGGTGGAGTACCAATATTAAAGTAGCCTTCATTATCAGAACTTTCCGACAACATTCTGGCTTTCTACGTTATATAAATTCGAAAAAGCGAACGGGAAATTCAAATCTGTCACTTAGTTGTTTGTTTTCCTGTTGAAGGTTTGCGCCATATAACAACCACTGGTACCGGTAACTATAGATATGGAAATGCCAAAACAGAAAACGACAAATTTTCGCATATTATTTTTTTTTAAATAAAATACTGTCCCTATTTTTTAATTAATGATGTAGTTGTAAATAAAATAGTATACAAACCTCGAAGGAAAGTTTTCATTATTGTCTCCAGATTTAGTTAATCAGATCTCGACGCTACGCGTCTCAATTAACAATATCAGTCTCTCGACAGTAATGAAACACTTCCTTCCTCGGTATGTAATATACTATAATTTTTAATAATTTAATATTTTATAATACAATTTTCTATTTAAAAGGGTTAGTATAATAACTTTCAAAAACTGAACTGGCAAATTAATTATTTTTTCCAATCAAACGGTTATCGAAATTGTACAGTTGCAGCGCTACGCAACGCAATTGAATTAATATAAAATTTAAAACACGTTTGCCGATTCCCGATATTCTTTAATAATAGCCCTGTTATTGTTTGCCATAAAATGACACAAAAACTGAATCCAGTTTTATATTCGTATATGTACTGTTTTTCAACCATTGATTATCGATTATAAATTATTATATTATATTATTTCTATTTTAATATGGAAATAATTTAAATTCGTTTGAATTATTTTTTATTTATTTCATAAAATAATTTTTGTTTTCATAATACGTTTTTAGTTTTATGTTTAGTATTTTAGATGTATGTATATAAAAGATATATAAAAGGCAAACCAAATGTTTTGAGCCAACATATACAAGTAAAATATATGCTGTTTCATATTTGTTTTTTATTTATTTAAAGTGTCACATGTTTGGAAAACGGTACTAGCGTAGTTGAAAAAATAAGTGCTAAATAAATAAATGTTTATAAATGTTTCCATTTACTTGTGTCTAGCCCCAGCAGGCAACTATTAAGCCCAACTAATTACGTTAGAATTTTTGACAAAAACCTATGAATTAACACCCTCCAAATAACCAATCTAACCAACCTGACTGGTCAAGCTTAATAGTTGCTTGCTGGGGCTAGACACTTCTTTCTATTTACACCAAAAATATTTAGCAAATTAAATGAAGAGAAGTTAAATGACAATTACAAATACTTACAAAGAAAATAAAAAGAACAATAGAATGTATCTATTAGATCATAATACACTCATATAGACTCATATATTTTTTCTTACTTTTAGCCGTATATTCATGATTTTTTTATATACG